TTCATTCCTGCCTGTGGCAGGGGGCTCAGGCTAGATGATCTGTTCAGGTCCTTCCTGACCCTAGCTACTATGAAACTATGTTACAGAGGACAATAAGCTGAATATGAGTCAACAGTGTGATCTTGTTGCCAAGAAGACTAATAGCATACTGGGCTGCATTGGTAGGAGTGTTGGCAGCAGATCAAGGGAGGTGATTATTCCCTTCTATTCAGCACTATTGAGGCCACATCTGGAGTACTGTGTTCACTTTTGCCCCCCCCACTACAGAAAGGATGTGGACAAAGTGGTGAGAGTCTAGCGGAGGGCATCCAAAATGATTAAATAGCTTGGGCACATGAGTTCTGAGGATTGGCTGAGGGAACTGGGCTTATTTTGTCTACAAAAGAGAAGACTGAAAGGGGATTCAATAGCAGCCTTCAACTCCTTAAAGGGTCGTTTTGCAAAGAGGACGGAGCTAGACTGTTCCCAGCGGTGGCACATGGCAGAACAAGGAGCAATGGCCTCACGTTGCAGAAAGAGAAGTTTAGGTTAGATATTCAGAAAAAAAATTCTCACTAAGAAGGTAGTAAAACACTGGAACAGGTTACCCAGAGGTTGTGGAATCTCCATCCTTGGAGGTTTTTAAGACCCAGGGGTTTCAAAGAAGAGGGAGCTAGACTGTTCTCAGTGGTGGCAGATGACAGAACAAAGAGCAATGGTCTCAAGTTGCAACAAGGGAAGGTTGTTAGATATTGGGAAAAACTGTCTCACTAGGAGATTAGTAAAGCACTGGAACAGGTTACCCAGAGAGGTTGTGGAATCTCTGTCCTTGGAGATTTTTAAGACCCAGCTAGACAAAGCCTTGGTTGAGATGACCTAGTTTGGGATGGTCCTGCTTTGAGCAGGAGATTGGACTAGATGACCTACTGAGGTCCCTTCCAACCCTAATTTTCTATTATTTTTTAATTCTATGAAAAATACAAGTGTCTGTAGTAGACTGCTGTCTCAAGGACTGGGACCAGGACTGCAGTGTACATATACCAAGTTGTAAAAGGATGAGTCTGATTAGGGTATTTCAGTTCACTTGGAGATGCAGTTGTTTAGCTAGGAAAATGGTAGAAGTGAAGTTAGAGAGAATAAACTTATATAGCAGAGGAAGTCACTTTGGTACTATGATTTCTGCAGAAGATGGTGTTTAGGGGGAAATAACTATAAAAGAGGGAAA